TCATCTAAAGAGCTCTCAAACTGTTTGCGATAAAAGTCTTGCTTTTCTTTATAGTCATTGATTTCGACGATTATCTCGTTTTGACTGTTAATGGTATGCAAGCATTCATTCAAACTCTTCTCCAAATCGCTGATTTGATCCGTTTGTTGCGAACACTTCTTGTGGAGGCTTTCGATTTCAGTCGAGTCGGTCAACAACTTCTTCGACAGCTGTTCCACGCGTTCCTCCGTTTGTGTCAATTGGATGTAGTTTTTCTCGAAGTCTTCTTTCAGGACCTCATATTCAGTCCACTCGACGCTCTCGTCGCGAGATTTTCGCAACTCTTGGATCACATTCTTCTGGATATCAATCTGTTTATCATTCATCGCCTTCTGTTTCGATATACCATCCAATTGTGTCTCCAAGTCATCGATTTTAGTCATCGCATCTCGAAGACGGTTCCGCAGTTCTTTGCCGTTCATTGTCTTCAATTGATTGACTGATTGTCACAGACTTGGAGTGAAGACAACTCAATGAGGAAAGTGTGACAAACAATGACAGCCTAAGTGTGCGCTCAGTCAGTGTTACTGTTATCGCTGCATTTCAGATATTAACTATAGATGACGTGTAGATAGGTACATAAACGTTTAATTAGGGTTTAGGATTTGGTCAAATATCAAATTTCCTTTACGTTTAGTTCACGATTTTTCAAAAGAGTTTGAAACTCGACAAATTTCATTGGACTGTTCACTACTTTTGTATGTTTGCATATTCATAGGTATATGTCACACATCAAACATGTTATCTGCAAACTGAAAGACTGGGCCTTTTCATGTCATATGACTCATAGGGTTATATACAGTATGTGTTGAAAAAACAAACAAAAAAGTGTTGAGAGTTAGCGGTGTTTGTGATGAATAGGTTGTGATTGTGATGACAGCAATCCATGTCATTTAGTGACCGTTTATGACATCTGATTGTGTGTCCACTCATTCATCTGACATTTGAATCTCACTCAAGACATAGACTGAGTGACAGTGTGGTGACAATGGGGTCTATAGTGGTGACCACATTGTCTGTCTTCTTGGGCATGTTCTTCGTGTTCATGGGATCAATAAAACTGAATCAACAAATCAATCGTGAGATGCATCGCGAGATCCGAAGACAGTTTGTCCAGTACTCCAAAGTGGTTCCAATGGCCGCCACTCTTGGCCTCAAAGTGTCGCCCAAATTATACCGACTCTTCATCGGATGGCTGGAACTGATCGCTGGACTGTCGATGGCCTTTATTCCCGGGCGCATCAAACTGGTGGCCAATGTCTTACTTCTTGGCGTCACTATTGGTGGCATTTATACTCATTTCATGATTGGAGACAAATTCGAGAGTAAGTGTTGAATGGATTACATCCTGCTTCTGTAGGTAATATTGGTGGTGAAAGAGAGAGAGAGAGAGAGAGAGAGAGAGAGCTATCCTTAGCGCGGCAGCTAACACAAATGAAATTACGAAACGACAGCTGAATATCAGTGAATAGTCCACCGCCGAAGAGAGGCTCTTCAGCTCAAACAGCAGTCGGTATCCACTGAAACCGATGATCACCAGAAAGAAGACTAAAGTTTCTAATCTCGAAGAAAGTGCTTAAAAGACTTGTATTTTTTCTGAACAAATTACTCACTTTAAGGACAAAACAGTGTTTTCCACAAACTATTTATATTTCGCACATATTTTGATAATAATTAGTGAAATGTTTGAACTGTTCGGCGGCACCGGACGTGTGGGTGCGGGTGAGGAGTGTCTGGTTGTGGCAGAATGTGGTCAGAACCACAACGGAGATGTGAATATCGCTATGAAAATGATTAGTGAATCTAAGCATACAATTCATGCCAATTGTGTTAAGTTTCAAAAAAGTGATCTCAAGTCTAAATTTAATGTCAAGGCTCTGAGACGTCCCTACGATAGCATCAATTCCTGGGGTCCGACATATGGCGAGCACAAGAGGTTTCTTGAGTTAACAGACGAACAGTTCCTTTACTTAAAAGATTACGCCAAAAATGAGGACATTTTGTTCACTGCATCTGCAATGGACAGCAAGTCATTGGAGTTTTTGGCGCAAATAGATGTGCCGTTCATTAAGATCGGGAGCGGAGACGTCGATAACTATCCGATGCTTGAAAAGGCCGCCAAATATGACAAACCGTTGTTTGTATCGACGGGAATGCATGACTTGGAAGTGGTTAAGACTGTCTACAACTTAATCACACCAATCAATAAGAGGTTGTGTCTCTTGCACTGCGTGTCTGCATATCCGACACCCTTTGAAGACATTAATCTCCAAGTGATTACTGATTACAAGAATTTATTTCCATCGGCAGTCATCGGATACAGCGGTCATGAGTTAGGAACTGAAGTTAGTGTAGGAGCTGTTGCTTTGGGCGCCAAAGTGTTGGAAAGACATCTAACTTTAGATAAGACTATGAAAGGGACGGACCACTCGTGCTCTTTAGAGCCTCAAGAATTCGCACAAATGGTTACTCAGATCAGGAACTTAGAGGCGAGCACAAGAGGTTTCTTGAGTTAACAGACGAACAGTTCCTTTACTTAAAAGATTACGCCAAAAATGAGGACATTTTGTTCACTGCATCTGCAATGGACAGCAAGTCATTGGAGTTTTTGGCGCTAATAGATGTGCCGTTCATTAAGATCGGGAGCGGAGACGTCGATAACTATCCGATGCTTGAAAAGGCCGCCAAATATGACAAACCGTTGTTTGTATCGACGGGAATGCATGACTTGGGAGTGGTTAAGACTGTCTACAACTTAATCACACCAATCAATAAGAGATTGTGTCTCTTGCACTGCGTGTCTGCATATCCGACGCCCTTTCAAGACATTAATCTCCAAGTGATTACTGATTACAAGAATTTATTTCCGTCGGCAGTCATCGGATACAGCGGTCATGAGTTAGGAACTGAAGTTAGTGTAGGAGCCGTTGCTTTGGGCGCCAAAGTGTTGGAAAGACATCTAACTTTAGATAAGACTATGAAAGGGACGGACCACTCGTGCTCTTTAGAGCCTCAAGAATTCGCACAAATGGTTACTCAGATCAGGAACTTAGAGCTGGCGCTCACACCACACAGACCTAAGTGTAGACAGGAGTCTGAGTGGAGTTGTTATCGAAAACTCGGCAAATCTATTGTCGCCAAACAGTTCCTACACAAATGGTTACTCAGATCAGGAACTTAGAGCTGGCGCTCACACCACACAGACCTAAGTGTAGACAGGAGTCTGAGTGGAGTTGTTATCGAAAACTCGGCAAATCTATTGTCGCCAAACAGTTCCTCTCGAAGGGAACGGTTTTGTCATTAGATTTAATTGATATCAAAGTCGCCGAACCTTTCGGTATAAATGCGAGTAAAGTGTTTGACATATTGGGCCTCAGAGTTAATAAAGACATTGGATTTGATGAAAGCATTCAATTTGACGATTTGTGTCAAACAGACTAAAAAGTGAAGGTTTTATGGCATCTTATTTGACACTAAATACTCATTAGATATTACGGTAACACAAGAATTTCTCATTTTACTTATAATTATTTATACCGGTATTATTTGCTGACAATTTTAATCATCTAAATACTCATCATTTTGATTCAAAATATGAATCTTTCATTTCATTTAATTGTTTGATATTTGTATTGATCTATTCATTATCTTTATTTAATTTTCGATTACAATATACAGTATTATATANTATCTTTATTTAATTTTCGATTACAATATACAGTATTATATAATAGAATATGAGATTCTTTTAAAACCAAACAAATAAAGTTTTAGTAAAATATTTATATCATAATTAAATTCTCTCGATTCCCTCACATATACCACATAACAATAATGAAGGTATTTTGAAATATTATACAACATCTGCTTATAAAACATGACATTCTGTAGTGTAGTTAAGGTTAAATAAATTACTATCGATTTACATTTATTACTACGAATGACTCGATATATTCTTACATTACTTAATATCAAAATAAATTCATTTGACAGTAGTATTGTCTTAATGAGGGAATTTAATGATACAATACTTTGTATTAATACAGATAACAATGAGAGAGCGTTTGAGAACAACTAAAGTACAGTACTTTTTAGCAATAATTAGAAAACATATACTGTAATCGGCAAAACAATTTGAAATAAAATATAAAATTAAAACAAATTGAATACTGCATTTCCTATTATATGGTGTATTTACTGTTATATACTATATTGTAAAGAATAAGTAGTTTTTATCACATAATTGTTTGTCATATGTTTGACACATTAGTTAAACAAGTGATACGTCCGTCGACTTTAGGCTCAAATTTTCGTAATTCTAACTCGAAATCTAAATATTCAGTCATTTCTATAGCAGTGGTCTTCGGGCCTGAACTGCAGACCAATGTCTTGCAATCAGACTGAGGATCGGCTGCCAATTGTGCGACCGATTCCATGTACTTCTTGACTAAAGTAAACACATCCACGCAATGCTCTTTAGGTATCAATACTTCGCACTCTTTGAGCACATAATAGCCATCCTTTCCTTTGTGAAGAAATTCCTCCGTTAGAAGTCTGTACTTCGCCTTCAGATCCAGACATTTGTTTCCAATTGTGATGGAATTGGGATCAATTCGACTGCCGGCGGGTTTGTGCGGATCAAACTCATAGTGAATTCGGGACACGTGTGCGAAACTGCCGTCAAGTGTTGGCCATCGGGAGAGTCCACACTCGAGGGCTGTCCAGAGTTGGTATCCCGTTATGTTCAAAATGACCAACTCGTCCATCATCGGCAAAATGCGGACCAAATCTCTAAACCTGAAGTCGCCTTTCAAATGGATTTGATCGCTTCGGAACATACCTGAGTTGAGGAGCACGGCCTCCGAACCGGTGGTCACTAACGCTATATCACTGATGAGATTTCCTAAATTTGTTTCTCTGTTCAATTGAATTGAATTCAGTTTATTTAAAGTGTTAAGTATTCGCCTAATAAAGTGATGTTCTCTACAAACCTGTTTCGGATGGAACCGAATCTTCCGTCCAAATCACAACCAATTTTACACAAAATTATATCCATTTTTAACTCAACAATCACTGAATACTTTGTCAACTCGTGTTTCAGTGTCGGGTCTTCTTTGAAATCATATGAATTGACATTAATTTCTTGGCATTCGATCTCATATTCTTCACTATCAATGAATGTGATGTCGATTTTACTGAATTGTCTGAAATCTGTGCCACTTTTGACACAAACTTTATTATTGATTTTGCGGATCTGGTAGTCGTGGTCGTGTCCGCCGAGTATTAGATCGATTTCGGCCACACCTTCGGCCAGAAGGCAATCGTTAGGCCATCGCATGTGAGTCAATGCGATCACGAAATCGACGCTTTCCTGAATTGGTTGCCAAATGAGTTAATAATTGACACATTGTTTCAAAGGACTCGCCTTTTCTTTCAAATGTTTGGCCAGTTTTCTGCCCTCCGCTACGAAGTCTCGGTATAAGTACCCCTCGTGTAGTGAGTCGGCCAACCATTGCTCCTCAACCAAGCCTATGATTCCCAACTAAACACACATTGAGTTCACATTTGACACATTATGACACCAATCCTATTGAATACCCTTTTATTATTCCTATCGATGATATGCCAAACCATGGCATCATTGATGGGACGGTTAGTCTTGTGGTCGTATACATTGCTCATTAGCCACGGGAAAGAAGTCCTTCCCATCCATGACTTGAGGTGATCGACACCAAAATCTATGGCATATTCAATGAGTTATGAGATTACAAGTGATGGGAACAGATGGGAGATGTGTTAGAGATTGGGATAGAAATGGATGGCAATGAATGAATGATAATCTAAAGACAGACCGAACTCATGGTTGCCAAAGACGGCACAGTCGACGGCCAATGCGTTCAAAACGGGAATCATTTGCTCGCCTTTTGTGAAAGTACTCACTGTTTGGCAACAAATGCATTGAATTAGAGGACAATTGGTGAATAGGTTGAGACATTTGATGGATACTGACTGATCGATGGGGACATTATATCGCCACTGAAGAGGACTAATGGATCGCAATCTCTGTAGGCATTGAAGGCAGTGACGAGACGGGCGGCCCCTCCCGAGGGCTCATCAGGTCTGGACTCAACGTTATAGCAGTCATTGAAATGAAGTATCGATACAATTGACGGCGAATTAGTCTTAATTGATAAGTGATTCCTATTCACTGTGTTATTGAATGTTTGGTCAAAAGCAGGCATTTATTCAATTCATTCAAACCAGTGTCACAAATATCTAGATATCTCCAAAAGTCTTAGATTAGTGTCTCTTTAACTGCTATTTGACAGCAATTTATGCTTTCATTGTTTGTATGATTAATTCAAATGACAATCAACTGATCGCGCGTTTAGATTAACTTCAATCCAAATGAATTGAATACAAGATTGCGTTCATTGATAGCAATCGGACACCAAATGAGAGCTAAAAATATGATTATTAAATGACATTTAAATGAGTCATTCATTGGTTCAGTCAGTCATTGAGTGTTTCATTGACAGCTGAGTCTACTATAAAAACAAGTCTCTGTCAACAACTCTGGCGTAACTGTGCTCTCGAGCTAACGGTGCCAAACATCTGCGCAATACTCGCACCACTATTACGCAAAGGCTGTCCATTTGGTGGCAACGATTGCACAACTCATGGATCACTGATTGCCAGAAAGGGGTTAACCAGTGATCGCACACTAGTTATACTTTTATAACTTTATAACACATTTAGAGATTGACTTGAAATATAACTACAATCATAAATTAGAAACTGGTATTAGATGTGAATGATATTATGAGGATAACTAACGGGCACAAAGTGACAGGTATAGTGGCATAGTAAATATATTATCGATTAATTTGCTGATCTGGGCACTTTTTTAATTGGATATTCTGTACGTCCAATAGTCCATGGATTGCATCATAATAATTCAAACAACAAATGCATTGAAAATTCTTTTGGAAAGTATAGCCGACTTTTGTTACAGTCATCATAAGAGACCACATTTGTTGTATCAAATTAAATTCAATTATGAACTTTTATTAATATAATAAATTGTAAAACAATTTGATTTAGATGCAAAATAAATATTTACAAATAAATAAAATAGAAACTGATTATCCATTAATTGTTGAGTGATCCAGGGCAAACAAATTGTCAATATTTGGTAATATTCTGTGCGAATTGATTCAATTGTAAAGCCATGGATCAGTCTGTGTGGTGATTGTGGGCCTATATAGCAATAAACAAATTCATAAATTTATGACAGATATAGCACTTAAGTGGTCATTTGGATCTACAAGACCTGAATCCCCAACTGTTCACAACTGGCGTCAAATGCCAATTGAAATTCACGATTGTTTGGATCCAATTCGATGGCAATCTTTAAGTCTTCAAAAGCTTTAAGGAAATTATCTGAAGGTATGAATCAAGTGATTAACTCATTGGTCAATGCATTTGTTAATGTCTTGTGGACTCAACTCATCCTATAGTGAATGGTAGCCCTATTATAGAGAGCGATCGCTAGACACGGATCCAAACGTAAAGCTCTTGTGTAGTCATCGGCGGCTAAATTGAATTCAATGGCTCTGTAGTACAGAAACCCTCTGTTATTGTAGAGAACTGCTAATGATTTGCATCTAATGAATGGTCAACACAGTTATGATGGCATTCATTGGTCAACAGTTGTCATCAAACCTTACAAACTATTAATTGTCACCTCATTATCGGCTGATTCTGACATCTGTTTCAGTGAATCCAATCGCAGGAGTGATTCATCGATGGATTGACTCAATTGTGCCATACTTTCACTCATTTTAATGACAAATCATTTAATAAATGACATGAAAATCAAGACTTAATTTTCAAAACCAATTCATTGAATGCAAGCAAACAAACGCCTAAATCACGTGATAGTGACGCAAACATTGCATAACTTGGCTGTGGATTTGAAAAGTTAATGAAACATTGAAAACAATATGTTTAAACACCTTTGAATCAAAATTTATTATGACATAAAATTAAAAAATACCTGAAAAACAAAAAAATAGTCAATATATTTGGAAATTAAAATGAAATCATTAGAAACTTTTGTTGATAATCCACTCAGAGATCACTCTTAGGAACGACGGGATCACTCAATTTGCTGAAGTACTTGAGTTTTTCATCAGGGTCTGGGATGATAGTCTTGTCACCCGGTTTCCATCCGGCCGGACACACCTCCCCGTGTTGGTCAGTGTACTGGAAAGCTTGCACTAAACGGATAGTCTCATCAACGGATCTGCCCACCTATAGCCCAATTACGGTACAAGAGTTGCCATCAATTTAGTTACACCTATAGTATTAGGTTGTAATAGTAAGCACACGCACCGGCAGGTCATTCATTGTTATCTGTCGTAAAACTCCTTTGGCATCAATTATGAAGAGTCCTCTGAGTTTAGGAAAGCAGACAATATTTTTATAGCAAATATCTGGAGAATAACTTTTGAAATATACCTCAAAGTATGTCCCAAATCTTCTAAGTATACGCCATAGTCTTTATTAATAAAATTGATATATGAATAGACATTCAATTGAGTAATGGTTTAGTTATTCATTGAAGACATCAAATGATAAGAATTGCAAACCTTTTGAGATCTGATGGGTTTGATCTGATAAGAGGGGAATGTTTAGAGAACCTAAACCTCCCTGTTTTCGGGGGGTTTTGATCCTTCAATAAACAAAATGATAAAACAATATGTCAGTTGACAAGTGAATAATGAGGTGACAATTAGGTCATAAAGTGATGATGAATACCAGGCTAAGTGTGTGAAGGGAGAGTCAACGGACACACCGACCACTTCTGTGTTGATGTCTCTGAACTCTTGGATGCGATCACTGAATGCTATGATTTCTGTGGGACACACGAAAGTGCTGTCAAAACAATCAAACCATTAGTGCAAACGTCGGGCACAACAACACATGGATTGTCTGCTCACAAGTCCAGCGGATAGAAGAAGAAGACCAGATATTTGCCGCGAAACTGAGATAATTTCATTTCCTTAAACTCCCCGTTTATCACAGCCGTCCCCTCCCAGTCCGGCGCCAACTTCGAGACTATCGGACAAATGACAGGTCATCGGAGGTGACATTTATGTGACCATCAGGTCATCAATGGGTGACATACTCTGGGTTTTACTCCAATGAAGCCGATGACCGGTGGATGTACTTCTGGTCTCCTGTGGATACACATGTCCGCCACCGAAGGAATAGCACTGAGGAGAGGACAGGTCCTGTTGGCCACGTGTGACACCCAAACAGGTCACTATCACCACACATACCACCGCTGTATATGTGTTCATAACTGACTCTATGGTGCAATGAAAGGCACTTTAATTGTGTGTTTGTATTGTTAGCCAAAAACACCGCTTCAATAGACGTGTATTAACGCCAATGCATTGAAAACCCTTATGGCTTGCATTCAATGCTATGGAAACATGAGTTTCGGACCCTTTTCTCACTGTAGTTACGCTTGTATTCCACGATTCACTGATTGTCTCCAACACTGTATCCATAACTTTATTGTTTGATAACTTAATACCAAATTTGAGATATTCTTTGACTTTTATTTGATATAAAAATGCATTTATCAGTTAATTCAAGGAAAGACGTGATTCTGAAAAATATCTCTCTTTTATTTGATTTGAATATTTGTTAATTCATTATATATTTTATACATTAGTTTCGATTAAAAAGGATTTCGTCCTAAAGATTAAGTATTGATTAAAAAGCGTTTTCATTGCTTTAAAAGATAAGATTGTCTCTAAATATACAGTAAATCATATCATATGTAATGAATAAACAATATAATAATTTGAATTACAATATAATATACAAATACAATACAATATATAAACTCATAAACAATAAAATATTTGTGGTTTTGTTCTACAGATTATTACTTTCTAAGAGTTTTGTCGACAAAACTGAAGAGAAAGATGTCTTTTCGGCGCCAGAAGTCATATGAATGCCTGATATATAAGAAAACAATTTATCTGAATCCATATCTTCGGGAAGTTTGGTCAGGAATTGCGCCAAATATATGAAATCCAAGTTAAGTAACACTTCGTAATACATGGAAAGTATACCCAAAGCGGCTCTGAATATGAACTCTTCGCCGTCTCTGAGAAACAGATCCCATATTCTGCTGGCGATATCCAATGGAAGCGATCGACTGAATAGTGTATAGATATAGTCGACTAAATATAAATCAGGACTCAGTTTCTGTTCATTGAAATGTTTGTATAGTTTTGGCAAATTTTCGGCAAAAAACTCTTCAAATGTTTTATAGTATGCGTTCATAACTGGTTGGTTGACCCGGAAAAACGACACCAATAGCTCCCGATTGAGCAGATTTGCCAAACAAACGAATGCAGACTCAGACTCCATGTTCAGCAGAAGCATCGCCGCCAAGAACGACATGCCCTGAGCGTAGCCGATGTCCGGCCGGTATGTCACGTATGCGCCCAACAGTTCACTCAACACCTCGTGATAGGGACCGCTCTCTTGAAAGAGACCCAATTGAGGGAAAGTGCGCGAAACGTCTAATTTTATCAAATCGGCGGCGCTTTCGTTACAACACTCGTCGTCGTCCACAACACACTTATGATGGCTTTGTTTGGACCACACATTCTCTTTGGAACGGCTCACACAATGGCTGTACATGTCTTCAGTGATGTTGAGGTCGTTAGTGATGGCCAGAGTCCACACCCTTTGTCTGACGTGCGACGGGATTCCAGACCACCACAGGTCGCGAGTCTTCTTCGAGTTCTTATTCTTATGCCAATTGGGAAGGAGGTCTGTATTCCACACTTTAATGGCTTCAATAACCTGCTCCTCCTGTTTGCGTTGCCGCTCAGCCATCCTCTTCTTGGCCTTCATGTCCTTCAACTCCTTCTTACGGGTCTGTCGTATCATTTCCTCGAACTCTTGTTTGTGTTTCTTGTCTTCTTCGGGATGTTTGGCCGGAAGATGCGGCGGACGGGTCTCCAGTATGAGTGCAGTCGTCGATGAGATATTTACACCATTAGTACCAAAACTATTACTATTATTAACATTTGATGTATTATTTCGTTTCACTTTATTTAACAGACTTTGAAGAGAAAGAGTAAACAATTTCTTTGGTTTCGAGTCGGAAACAGATTCACAATTAGATTCCGTGTCTAAGTTGAGCGACAAAACACTTGAGTCCACGTTTGATATGCTATCGTCTGAGCCATTGTTTTCATGCAAATTATTTCCATTGTATTCGCCATCAGTTGCTTCGAGAGTGTGGTCTTTGTTTGAGTGAAACACTGATAACTTGTTATCAACGCAAGAGTGAGATTCTGTTCGCCTCTCAAACACATCGTTTGGACTTTGCTTGCAGTCAACCACTGAGTAGCTGTTCCTCGAGTTTAAAGCTTTTAATTTGTCGTCCAAACTGTTATCAACACTAATATTATTTTCACATTTACGGCTCGAGTATTCATCACAGGATAGTGTCTTATCATTAGATTCATGGCTACTGTTCTCGTGATTGAGATTCAAAAACCCATTCAATCGTTTGAAACCATTTTGCAAATTCACACCATTCTTATAGCCATTCACACCATTATTATTGGCGAACCCCTTCTGAAGGAGCAGTTGTTTAGTGATGGGGTCGTAAACCAGCGGAACCTTATCCAAGACGGCATCGATGGTCGGACCGTCTATCGACTCAATCGATACCACAATTCCCTTGCATTTGGGCTCTTTGTCGGACACAACCACCGATTTGTCCTTTATTTGTGACACATTTAACGCTTTCTCGTTGTATTCATTAGCATTACTGCCATTAACTGGATCCAAATGAATGCAATCACACATTCCTCGACACAATAACTCTTGCTTTCAGTATCTCTTCAATGGTTTCCGTCTTTGAATCTCTTCGAGAATCAAACGACAATTAAATTCAATCCAAAACCAAAGCAATTGAATGGTTTGATAACGTGTTTAAGTAATGAAGGGATCAATTCATAGATAATGTGTTTTTAGGCCACAAATGACTGGTTTTATAGCATTCCTATGGCGATCACCTCAGGCTATCGTAAGGTTTCAGTGGAAACCTAATTATAAAACAAATCAAATAACAAACATCCAGTTAATCATCGTTTCGTTTATGATTGTAATTATTTATATTGTATTCATATTGAAATTATATGGCAATTATTGTTATCATTCAATTCAATGTCAATACAAGTGAGGACTTACTCATGAAAATAGTTGTCCACAAGAACTACAGTTATGAACAGATATATCATATAATATCACAGATTGTATGCAAACTGCATATCAATGCAAATCACTTGTCGTTGTAATCAATATTAAGCCAATTATTAGGAAAACATTACAAAACACTGTAAACTGTAGACAATATTTGTATGAATACACTGTAAACTGAATAAACAATTATTAATGACTACGAAAACATGTATCAGATTTGAAATTTGCTGTAATAGTTGCTAAATATCTAATTGAATGTATATTTTGTTGATATATTGGCTAATAATATGTCAAACATATGATAAAATATGACAAATATTACTCATTATGACTACGAATTTATGGTGATTTAGAAATAGAGAGCACTTTATAATGAAGGGGTGTTTATAGTGTTTATAATGTGTATAATGTGGTAACAAATGGACGCATAGATTGGCAATAATTAGCGTTAAATAGTATTCAACACATTATGACATCCAATGCAATGATTCAATGAGAATGTGAACACAAAACAGGAAAAACAGAATTAAATGTAAATGTATTGCAATCGAGTCATAGACTCGCATACACTCCTCATGAGCTCTCATAGGCTTTAATGCATTTAAATGTCTGCTCAGGAATGCAGTCAACACTCACACACTCATACACAACGTGCACACCATTGCACTCACTGTCAATGCACTCAACACTATAGGGCTCTCATAGACACCGTTGTCATTGATGGCAATGTTTGTCATCACATTTACCATTCAATGTTGTGTTTTCTTATGAATTACAGCACTTTTACATTGTATTCACATATTTGTCATGAGTTTCTTAATCAGTTTACTACTGTTTATGGCAATTGTTTAAACATTACAACACTTATCATATGGCAGAATATGCCTATTAATGAGTTGTATGAATATATAGTGAGTATTGTATTACATAAATGCACACAATATTACACTTTATAATATGATTGTGTATTGAATGAACTCAAGTGTCATATAATCATAACAGTGTATACTGTGCTGTCATTTGATTGAATGTAAACTTAATTAAATTGAATGAAAGCATGCATTGAATTGAAGTGAGAAATAGACCATAAAGTGAAACATTGGATGCTTTGAAACGGTTTATAAATTCATAAAATTTATATAACACTGCAGTTTAGTAGTAAACTTAATTAAATTGAATGAAAGCATGCATTGAATTGAAGTGAGAAATAGACCATAAAGTGAAACATTGGATGCTTTGAAACGGTTTATAAATTCATAAAATTTATATAACACTGCAGTTTAGTATCATTTGGTTTGCCTTACCATTAGCACTACACATATAAAATTTAAATGTAAAATTAAAGTTATAGCAATATAAAATACTTGCTAGTTAATTAGCAATAAAGTGATAAATTACAATTTGTACAGTCATAAAATAAATAAAATTAAATTAAATAAATTTATGATATATTCATAGCTCGTGTCCATAAGGCGTCCAAAGGTTACCCCCGATAATGACTGCCCTATCAGGCAATTGACTCTATGATAGCGATTCACATATAAATTAAATAAATTTTTATTATAAATAATTGTATAAAAATTAATTAGAAATAGATTTGTATCTCAAATATGGGTTAAGTAATAAAAATGAATAGACAATAAAACCACACAACTATGAATACTACAATAATTAATAAATTGTTTGTCATTTGTTTAGTCTCTTATTGTGAAAGTATTTGACAGAATCGACAGTCATATTGAAAATAATGCCAAAACATGCGAGAAATCCGCCGACTTTCCAGATGTAAAAGGCGTCGATTCTGTTGATGAGATACCCGCCCACCAGAGCCCCAATGCCCAGACCTACGCCCTCGAAGGCACCCGACATTATGCCCTGAAGAGTGGCGTAACTCTTGGACTCATTGGCCACTGAGTTGACCACAACTGTCTGTTCAGTGGCCTCTCTGTCGTCCGTCTCTTTGATCACTTTGAGAGCTCTCGAAATTCTTTGGTTCTCTTGAGTGGCGTAATGTTGGGCCAAATCTGTCATAACTGTGTAAAAGAGTCCGAAAGTCAAGCCCTGAACCACTTCTATGAGCAAAACATCCCAATAAGCGGTTCCAACGGTGAACACATAGCCGTAGATGAAGTATTTGATGGCAAACGCCGCCAGACTTATGTTGAGTGACAGCGAAGGCCCACAATGTCTGAGAATGATGTTAGAGATGAGGAAGAATGGCAGCTCTCCTGCGAATGACTCGACAAACAGAGCCAAACCCAT